CCCCAGCCCCAGCCCCAGCCCCAGCCCGGCGTGTTTATCGAGTGACTCCGGCTGCCAGCCACCGAGTTTGCACCCATCCCCCACCCCAGTATGCACCCTCGCCTCCCCCCCAGCCGGGTGGCGGCCGCGCCGTGCGTGTGGAATAGAGGGGGCGCTCCTGGCACGGAGAGCCAGCGGGGCAGCTGCCGCCTGCCGAGCCTCAGGGAGGCGCCCAGACCCCGGGACCTGCTGCTGGAGTTTCTCTCAGCCGCGCTGGGGCCGGCGCGAAGACGGGTTGGACCCTAGAACTCGTGGGCCCACGGTGGAGAAGGGCACCTCTGCTCAATCCCCTCTCCCAGAGTCGGGGCCTCGGGCGGGACCCGATCTTCAGGCGGCTCATCTTCCTGCGGGGCGCCCGCCTCATGCCACCGGCAGGGCCACGCAGCCTTTCTCCCGCGCCGGACCTCCGCCAAGCGGCGGAGGCATTAGTGGGCGGAGAGACCAGAACAGGGCGCATACCGATCCCCAAAGCCTCTTTCCGAAGCCCGGGTACGAGACGGGAAGCGAGCGCGCACCGAGCAGGTAAAATAAGGAAATGAAAAAAGAACTTAAAAAAAACAAATCCTTTTAAGAAAAAAAAAAAAAAAGACCAAGAAGAGCTACGCCTCCGGGTGGGAGAGAGGGTGGTGCTTCCGCCAAGTTGGGATCCTCAAGGATTTGGGGGCTCTGGAAACTGTCCCTCGGTTTGATGAGGACAGTGCAGGCGGCCCCGGGGTTCCAGCCTCAGTGGGGAGCATAGTACCCCCAGCCCCTCGGTCTTGCGCGCCTTACTCCCTTCCTTCTTGGAATCTGCGACCCCACTGCCGCTCCCTCCAGCGCACTCCGGTGTTCCTTGGGGTCCGCACCCTCGGCTGTCCTCCCAGCGCGCGCGTCCTGCTCGCCCCCGCCCTGCGTTCCCCAGGCTTTGAGACTCAGCGGCGCGGGAGTTGGGGTAAGGTCGGGTCGGGAGAGGGGACCTCTCGCCGCGGAGGAGCCCGGGCTAGACGGATTAAAGAAACTCAATTTCGGGTCCGTCCTAACCAGCACCCCGGAACGGAGAAGGGAGGATCCTCGGTGCTGTCCTGCCCCCTGGCCACTTTGGTCAGTTTTTGTTCGTAAGCAGATATAGAAGGGCAGCGTGACAGCACAGCCCCAGAGTCAAGCCTCAGCGCATCCTCGGGCGAGTCCTGACCCAGTGAGTGGCCAGGGGTTGGGGTGTGTGTAAGGGTTGGGGGTGGGGGGGGTGTAGNGAGGGTAAGGGCAGGCGTGGACGTGGCCAGGGGGACCCGCAGGCCGGAGGTCTCTCCTGACCGCGGCTTAGAGCGTCCGCTCAGGATTGTAGGTGGCGGCCGCGGGCGAGCTCTGCGCGGGAGCCGCTCGGCGTGGCACCAAGAACCAGCCTTAGAACCGGCGACGCCCACCGGGAGCCCCAACCCGCCGCGCTCCCGGGTGCCCCGCGCGCTCCGCGGGCCTGGACAAGGCAGGCTGGGGCCGGAAAAGAAGCGCGGAGAGGGTGTCGTCTGCTCCGGTGCAGCTCCACCGCCCCCGCGCTGCCCGCTCTGTCGACTCGGTGAACACTTTAAAAAAAAAAAAAAACCAACAAAAAAAAACCCAAACACAAAGACTTGGAGGAAAGCAACCTGTTAAGTGCACTTATCTGGCACAAAACTAGGAGATCGGCCAGAAGGCAGCTGTTTACGCCGACCAGACTATGCTGCGGAGCTCGGGCCGAGGGCCACTCGCCGGTGCCCGGGAGCCCTTCCCGCCCAGTCCCGCTGCGTCCGGAGGTCCTTCTGAAACCTGCCCGAGCCCAGAGGGGGCATCCTGAGAAGGGCGTTGGGCATCAGGTCTCCGCTCCGTCGCGGGAGCCCTTTCGGACACGGGAGGAACGCAGCGGTGCCTCCTCCACGACGTGTGGCGCGGGAGGGCGGAGGAAGGCTGGAACAGAAAGGGACACGGGGATCCGAGACGTGGGAAGTCCGAGGCCCTCGCCAGGCTCGCGGGCGTCGCCCGGGTGGTCTCTCCAAATTCTGAAATCTGCTTCCTGCGGTGTATTGCCCGGGCCCCCTCCCCGGCAAGCCTCGGGGGAGCCTTCGCGTCGCTTCATTTTTTTATTAAACGTGGCATCTGCGCGCTTCTAGAGAACACAATACAGTTGGGCTCGGTGGAAACGTTTTCCGCGCCCTGTCCGCCGGCCGGGGTGCCGCGGGCATGGTAGGACCAGCCGAGCTGGTGCTTGGCGGAGCCTCGGGCGCAGGCTCTCGTCCAGCCTCGCGTTTCCTCGCAGAGCCCGGGAGGCTCTGACTCACTGGAGCCGCGGCGCTCGCTTAGCTGAACCTCTGCCCGTGGGTGTTTGATTTCTGTGCTTTGATTTTTTTTTTTTTCCCACCCAGCACCACAGTTTTTCAGAATCACCGGGAATCTGCTGCC